GCCTTTCTCTTCATCGCCTGCTTTTCTTGCCACGAGGCAGCTGCACTAATTGTCCCATTAGCGAAGAACCCACAGTTTGGTCCCCTGGTAGAAGGCCCTGACTTTTTCAACTCAGTCAATTGTGTCCTCACAATCTGTATAAGTCATCTAAAAGTAACAGCGGCACCGTCAGTTTTAGTATACCTCTTGGGCATTCATGGCAAGGGGCATGCCATCTTCTGAGAATGATTGTCCCTATGTTGCTGTTGTGGGTTACTAATGAGACTTCCTCTGTAAGGCATGAAGACCAACTGGACTACTCTCTCTTCTGCATCTTTCTCGCTTTTTTCCCCCCAAATTAAAAATAAATGCCTATTTAATAGCATGCTTGATGGTCTGTTGCCTTCAAGTATTTCAGGGAATAAACTGAGTATGTCACTGAATTAGTCAACCTGGATTTGTGTTATTTGAAATGTTCATGACACTAAGCTCCTGGCTTGCCTTGTCAAAAAAAGTGTAACGTGTTTCTAATCTAGCTCATTAAACTGTCGACTGTTCATTCTTGTGGTTGGCCAGGCTATGGACTCGCCTCTCTGGCCAGGCAACAGCAGAAGGCAGAGGGCGAGACAGGTCACAGCAAGGGGTGCTGGGTGTCGATGGGAGAAGGCTTCAGCCAGTGGATTCTCATCTCCTGGGCTATTGCTGAAATTGTGGAGTGATGCTCTTGGTGTTACAAAAGAGGTCCCCTGAAGGACACCTTTCTCCTACTGCTTCTGCCCACCTGGTACGTTTGGGCAGAGTGCATGCACTCCAAGTCCCTTGCTTCTAGGGACAGTAACCATATTTTCTTGGGAAAAAACGAAGGACAAACCTGAAAAAGGGGCAAAACTGAAAGAGGATAAACAAACTTTAATTGTTTATGTTTATAATTTTGCTCTACAAAGGAAAATTCAAGAGCAAAACCACAAAAACTTCACAAAAACACATATTGTAATACAAAATATTTAAAATCAAACAGACGTACATTTCATTTTAAAAAGACAATTCAGTGCTCATGTTTTTCACATGAATGTGAAAGACTGGGGATTAAGTGGTACCATTTGTACAGTAAAAGTTAAATGACCACCATAAAGGTCTGAAGTGAGTTTTTGAAAAACAAATAAATCTAAAGGACAGCTTTCTGAAATAGAGGACTGCCCTTTATAATAAAGGACACATGGTCACTGCACTTCTAGGTCATCTTATGGGACCTAGGAAACATGCCTTCTCTGTCATGGCTCCCACCTTCTGGAACAGCTTCCCCCCAGGGATATGGATGGCACCCACCCTCCTGGGGTTCCGGAAAGTCCTTAAAACCTGGCTTTGATCTCAGGCCCAGGGTTAATGTTTGGTGGGGGGAGTCGTAGTGCTTTATTTTGATTATGGTTTTTAGTCCTGGCTGTCTTGCTTATGTTTTTAATTGCCTTAATCTAGTATTTTGTAAGCTGCCCAGAGTCCACTGGAGTGGGTGGCTATATAAAATTTAGTAAATAAATAAAATGTTCTGTACAGGATATTGGAGCAAGCGATTCTTAGCTGGAGGTTTCTCAGTGACACAAGGACTGTGTGTCTGTGTTCTCTCCATGTGATTCTTGGCAAAAGCCACCGTACAATTTAGCTTATGCAATTGTTCTTTAAATTGTGCAAACTAACACGGAGCCGTGAAGAAGATAAGAACTATAAAAGTGGATTGTTTGTGGGGGGGATTTCAGTGAATGAAAGATAGAAATGGATAATAACACAGAAGAAGCTTTTGTATGTCTTTAGAGGAGCTTTCTGATGTGAAAAGCAAAACATTGCAATAAACTTGAGATACCTCTGTCTAATTAAAGGCAATGTTAATACATTAATCCAGTGCTTCCCAAACTTTTTCCTTCCCCAAGGACTCAGGGGGGAAGGAGGGCACTGGTAGGTGCGTGTGAGTGAGCAAAGGGGAGAAGGAGGGCACGGTGCATGCAAGTGGCTGGGGTGAGTGGGGTAGACTTACCCAAGCGACTTGCGACCTCCCCTGCCAGCTTCCCCATTGACTTTGCTTGTGGGAAGCCGGCAGGGAAGGTCACAAATGGTGATCACGTGACTGTGGGACACTGCAAGCGGTCGTAAGCACGACCTGGTTGCTGAGTGCCCAAACTTTGTTCACATGACCACGAGGGCACTGCAACAGCTGGAACTTCGAGGACTGGTCATAAGTCCTTTCCTTCAGCACCATCATAACCTCAGTCACTGAACAAATGGTCGTGACTTGAGGACTACCTGTATTATAAAAACAGTACCATTGAATGATCTTTATGTCATTTCAACAAATTACCATTGGTAATTTCATCCATTACCATCTTAATAGGAATACTTTGGGAGATTTTCAAATATATTTTATTACACGTGGCAATCTTTAAGTCAGTTTACATGTCCCTGTTGTGAATGGGTTCGTGTGTCATTACCCAAAGAAGAACCACTTTTACCCAATTTTGGGTAATTTCCCAGGTTTGGGAAGTGCTGCATTTCTCACAGCATAAAATATATTTTGCTTTAAAAGTATGCCACCCAGATAGATGACATACTCTATCTTTGCAAAATGCAACTTCTTCTATAGCTCAGGGTTGTCCTACCTACTGCCCTATAGATCTGCAGAGGGTAGACTTCACAAAATACCTGCGCAGCCTGGCTGGGAATGGTGAGTGGTGCTGTCCCAACCCATCCGGAGGATCCTTCCTTGCAAAAGGTTGACGTAGGTCCTGCATTGAAAAGAAAATAGGTAGATATGAGTCATGGAGCAAACATTTGGTTGTTGAAAGATTTATAAATTTCAGACTTGGAAAAAACTGAGATGTTTTATAACACGGACAAAAGCGAGCATCTTGCACAAAATAGCTGAGCATTCTGTTTTAAAATAAACTACCTCCCCATGTTGCACCTCTCTTTTCAATAGTTTTGAGGCTGGTTCAGGTAGAGATAATTGTTTTCTGGTAATGATTAAAGCTGCATTTATCCTCTCCTGCTGAATGAAGAAGCGAGAACCCTTGAGATGCTGAAGAGTAAAGGGCAAAATATAAATGCATCCTGGAATAATGCATTAAATAACATTGCCATCTGAATAATAAAGCCAGTTTATTGCTTGGTTAATTGATTATATTTGCATAGATTAGGAAATAACTAAATTCAAAGTGTTTGTTGTTGTTATTGAAAAAGCTTTAAAAAATTGTAGAACTTTGAGGGGTCACGACTTCCCAGAATAAATGCCTGGTAGGATCACTACAAAGGCCCACTGACGTTCTGTGATATCCTGTTTCTTATGGGAGACATTCAGATGCCATACCTTGCCCCTCTTCCACCCTATAAAGATAGAACAGTTGCACTGATACTTGGTTAGATCTTCTTTCTCCTGCTTTGTCCAGTGGACATAGTCATGCCTTCCATCACTCAGAAGTCAAATTATCACATTAGGCAAGTGAGCAAGAATAAGCAGTGCTTTGCTAGATCAGATCCCTGGTCCAGCAGTCTGTTCTCACAGTGGCCCACCAACTCCCTCAGGAAGCCCTCCAACCTCCCAGCAGATGGCCTTCAAAGGCAGTCACACTGCCATTGAGGTTAATAGTTGTTGCTCCCCTGGACTTCCATGAATCGATCCATCCGTTTTTTGAAGCCAGCCAAACTGGTATCCAGCACCACATCTCGAGATAGCGAATTCCAAAGTTGAATTATGCTAGGGATTCTTAAATTGTGAACTGGGAGTTCTCCATGGGATCGCGAGCAAACTTGGAGGGGTCACAGGCTTTTTTCAAAGCCCACTTTGCATCTGATGGTGGCTGAGGGGTTGCTCAGGCCAAGCAGGAGCAAGCATTTTGCCTGCCCAGTGGGCATCTGCAGTTGCACCGAGTTTGAGCATACCTTGATATATAGATTAACATTTAATTATTAAAAATATTTCTGGCCCAATTCTAATCCCAATGAAATTATTTGGGGGAGGGGGGATGTTGCACCAATTTATCATTTTAGGAAGTCATGGTATCCCAAAGTTTGAAGAAGCCCTTCCTTCTCTCTAGCTTTTTTAATTTGGCATATTGCCTCATTAATTGAAGTCCTGATTTTCACTGATTCAGCAAACATAATCAGTTTAAATACTGTTGCAGCCTTGGGAACAGGCGTAGTTTTCATCAGGCATAGGTAACTGAAACGGGGTTCTTTTTTTCAAAAGAAAAACAAAGTCTTATAACCAAGTGTTAAATCTGTTGCATACCAAAGCTCTTATATTAGACCTTCATTCAGTTAAACTAGCATAAAATGTCTCTCTCTCTCTTCATGATTTCACCAAGCAGTTGTCCTGCAAGAATATGGAACAGATCCAGCAGACATTACAGCAGGGTGCACCAAGACCCGGAATATTTTAGCCAGTTACTGTCCCCAGCTTGCAGAATCATCAAGGAAAAGGCCTCGCTTGTCCCAGAAGCCCTGTTCACTCAACAGATCCCAAATACTGAAACTAGAGGGAAAATGTACCAGATGGCTGGTTTTACATTTAGTTCCTGGCAACCGGAAGGGCTTTGAGGAGGGCTTAACGTCTCTCTCTCTCCCCCTCCCCACCCCATGCATTGCCACCCCCTGTACACACATAAAAAATTCCAGGTAGGCTCCAAGCAACACTTTCGCTTGTTCTAGTAAACAGTCAGTACAGGATGTCCTGGGAAGGAAGGGTGAGACATTCAGTCTTCCAGAGAAGAACTGGCTGTTTCTTTCTTCTTTTCTTTCTCAATCAGGCCAGAGCGAGTGGCTGTGCATACGAATGCAGGAGTTTGATCTCCTAGATAGGAAACCTTACAGCAAAGCCGTCCTCTCACACTGTTAGTTATTAGATGCTATGCTTTGCTTCTGAATTTTGGAAAGATGAGAGCAGGGGGTCTCTGCCAGAGACCCACAACGGGACTTTGAGAAGCACATCCTGAGACACCTTCGGTGCGATTAACCTTTCGAAATTAATCTTTCCACAGATTACCTTGCTAATCGGGGACGTTTGAGTGAGCCTGATGCCAGACGCAAATTCTGGCAGATTCTCTCGGCTGTGGAGTATTGTCATGGCCGGAAGATTGTGCACCGGGATCTCAAAGCTGAGAATCTTCTGCTCGATAACAACATGAATATTAAAATAGCAGGTATACCAAATGTTAATTCCTTTTGCATTGGTGGTGTTTAAGATGTAAAATGCTGTCTCCTCTAAATAACTTTTGCCAATTTTCTGTGACGACACTGAAGAAAGATAAAAGATTGAAAAACTTGCGTGACTGTCCTACTTGCATCCAAGGGGACTGGATAATGTGGGCGCTAAGTTCTCGCTAAAAATAGCTCCTGCTTGACCTTTTCCTCTCTTCTTGCAAAATTAGAGTAATTCTGAATGTGGTAGAACTTTACTAGTGTTTGCAGCGCCATGGCAACTCCCTAACCCTGCCAGATGTGCAGGTTACAATCAAATTAATCAAACAATTCAGTTAAAAAGGAGAAGCAGCAGCAACTCAAAATGGAAACTCTCTGGTTATTTTAGCATGCTTGATTCCGTTTTAATTACAAATTTAGATACAGCAGATGTTCGTTGCAGTGGGATAATTTTCCTTTGCCTCTGTATAATGCAAAGGATTCTTGGATTGCCCGACCAGAATTTTAAAAATGAGAGGAACTCTGAAGCGGGAGATATTTAAGCTTCTGAGAGTTCTGTAAAGCTGTTGAGTTCTTGGAAGAAAAGATCTCTGGCAACTTTTCCAGCTAGTGTTTAGTTCCAAGAAGGAGGAACTCATAACTGTTGGCACTGGGTTCCGTAGGGATCGACAGCAATAGGGAAGCAGGAGCAGCTGCAACATAGAGAAAATTGGTGATCAAGGTAGGCTGTGAAATCCCATGAAACACAGAGACTGCAAATGGGAGGACCGTTGCCGAATAGCCCACCAACCTTTGTGCTGCAAGAAATGTACAAGGATGCTGGGCTTTTTTTATACGCGTTGTGGCGTTGCCCTCCTTTTCAGAATTATTTCCCACCTGTGATATTGGTGGGAAACATTGGGAAGGAAAAGCAGACGAGCCCTTAGTGGAATTCGGTGGACGAAAAAGCTTTGAAGCACGCAGTGACATGTTTTCAGAAAACTAAGCATTGATGTTTCTGCAGCTAAATTTATGGTTACTTATGAGGGTGTTGCAGTGAGATTTTATCTCATTAGAAAAGATAGTTATGTATTTTGTTTTCTAGCATGGATGGATGGATGGATAGTTTGAACATTGTGTGATACTGAGGTGTGCACGTAAGTCGCCTCTGCTGTCCCCCCCCACCCCCGCCCGATTGCCTGTAAAGCAGAAGTCAGGAAATAGAGAAATGTTCAATTCTTCACACGCTGCGGAGTCAGGAAGTAGGTCAGAAAAGAAAGGACTAAGGCTAGAAAAAATAAAGACCAAAATGCCACACATATGATGAAATTATGCAGGTGTGTTCTGTATTTAGACAAAAGACCTCCCTGCCTTTTATTGGAAAGAGCAGCTTAATTAAGGTAGAAATGCCATTTTCAAGATGTGTAGGCGCACCATGAAAGTCAAAATAGAAACTCCTTCAGTCTTTGGGGAATCTGCCCCAGCAGACGCCTTGATTTTTTGTGCATCTCTTAGCATCGATGATGCTTGTTCTGTTCTGTTCTGCTTCAACCAGCCTTCACGGGTTTCTGAGGCTTGTAAGTCTGTCTCCTCACTTCCAACACTGACCATATGTGTACCACCCTCCTGCTGTTTCCCCAAATTTCTGATCCCTTAGAAAAACACTATGGGCGATTTACATGCATTCATGGGCACATAGTGATAGATTTGACCATTTGTTACTATCCGGACTATGAATTCTCTGGATGGGGAAGATGTGGCAGGAAAAAAAATGGCCTTTTTCCCTCTGACTCTTTGAAAAAATGTAGCCTCCCTGCCCTTTCTAATCAGACTGTGGTTTTCTGAGAGGCACTTGAGGGGTAAGGTTCAGGATACCGTCGTCCGTGTATGTGGTGACTTAGTTTTCCTGTTTCATGAAGGGCTTCTACATAGAAAAGCAGCAGCACGCTCCTCATCTAACAGCTGCAGGACTTTGAGCCCGCAGAGGGGCTTTTGGGGGTATTCTTTGCCTGTTCCTTCAGGTCCACATTTGCCTCTGTAAGGATTTGGGTGCGAGTGATTTGCACATGGAAGTGACTCTCTGGTTGTGGGCGGTTGGGTCATTTCAAGGAATGTAGGAATGAGACCGCACTCCTTTAAAAGGTCCACCACAGGTGGTGACTGAAGATTGTGCAGGGTGAGTCCGTTCCTGCCATGGGTCACCTTGATTTCTCTCCCACGCTTTTCACTTTATCAGCACCTCTCTTTGCAAGCAGGGCCTTACTCGTGTTCCCCGCGAACAAAAGATCCACCCTTTCCTCTCCCACAGAAGCCAAGCGAGTAGACGCTTGCTAACAAGCAGACCCATTTTCTCAAGTGACTCTCCTTTTACAATCCCTTGCTCTATTTTGGACAACAGATGATTCAAATTGGAGCATTTTTTCTTTCCAAAAAGCACAGACATGACGTAAGCATAAATGCTAACATTTAATATTTGGCCTCAGAAATTAAACGCGGTTCACTCCGAAGGCTTGAAGTCTGGAGGAGAAAAGGAGAAGCATGTGAGTATTGTTATGGAGACCTGAGTGACCATGGTCTAGTTATTGCTCAAGTGCACAGTCACCTTCAGCCTTTGCACATGCAGTGTTCTCTTTTTAACCGCAGCTTTCAAGACCAACGGCTTGGCGGAGGGCGGGGCCCCTTTCTGTCCCCTTGCAGAAGAAAATGCCAACTGTCTAGCATAGTAGGCTTAGAGCAAAACCATTTTTTAAGGAATGGGTAGCTTGAAGTAACTCTTCTGCATCTAATATATTGCCCGGCAAAAAAAAGGTCAATGACTGAGAATTGTGTATTCCCATGAATTTGATATACTGCGTCACTAACAAGCATTCCCTGTTCTGCAGGCCAGTAATTTCACCTTATCAGAAATTAGCATAATCGGGTTGGGAAAATTTCCAGTGATGGTTCTTGAAAAAGGCCTTGATTCATGCCAAAAGATTGGAGGGAGGTGATTTGGGGAGGAGAGGGGGAGATGTGAGATAACAGTAAGAAAAGAATCTTAGCACTTGCTAAGCAGGGGGAAAAAATCTTTGTTAACATTTGCTAAAATGATTTAAAAGCAACTGGCTTTAGTAACAGAGGTCGTATATTATTGTAGTTTAATTCTGCAGCTGGGGTAGACAGAAAGAACAAACAGCCGTGATGTGGGAAACAGTCTGGGTTCCTTGTTGGGTTTGGATAAAATATTATCACTTCTGCGCTGGAAAGGACCATCCTACGCTGTTAAAAGGATCGATACCTTTGCAGCTCTCGGCAGGTACTTAATTCAGCTCCAAAACACAACCTAAAATAAAATAAGGAGCAGTAGGTACATCCTGGACAGTCCTTTTTTTTTTAAGCTACTCAGGGAAACCTTTGTCTTATAGTGCTGAATCATAGCGTCAGACAAGATCCAACTGAGACTTGAATTTTAAAGACGTCCTTGTTTGGCATGCCTTGAAGAGAAAGAGAAGTACAGAAGATTGTTCTTCGGTTTTTGGATTTATCACAGCTTGTTTTAACTTCCAGACCTGGACTTCAGGCTATCATTTATGAAGCTGGTTTGTTTTTGCTAATCCTAGCAGAGATTAAAGACAATTTAGGATGAAGATGTAGTTGACGTGTATGTTCTAGGTGGAGATTTAAATCAAAGCACACTGCAGCTGTTCCTTGTAACATTAAAACATGGTTTAGTCTTGTATATGAACCAAGACAAAATGTACTTCTTTGGATCAAGAGCAGCAAAATCCGATGGGCATTTTTGCTGCCTAAATTACTGGTGTGTTTCTCCTGTTAGAGGAAACCTGAAAGTGATTGTGATGCTGGAATGATGGATTGTAGATAGGGAATGAGGCCTCCACTCCTGTCTGCTTCTAGTAGAACAGGTAGCATAAGGTAAACTGTTCCTTGCTTTTTCCACTTGGCGTAATGCAGGTTGTTCACCCCTGGGGCAATGTGAAGTCTTGATGATGCCTGTAAGATGTCTCGTAATGGCTGTATAATTATCATCCTGGCATCTGCTGATAATGTCACGTGGCATTGCACTGTGAGGCTAAGAGCTGAGACCAAGTCAGCAGCTCGGAGAGATTTACCCACCAGGTTCTCCTGAAATTCACCAGGGAGCAGATGCTTAAAAAAATGGCATTTAGCCTGAGATGCAATTTGCCGCAAAGGCACCAGTGGAGAATTTACTTGGGCCTCTCTGTACTTCGTGAGGCGGCAATCAGGGCCGCCCCTTTAGAAAGGGCCTCGATTTACAAGCTGAGCACTAGGCATGGTAGCTGGCAAGCACATGAAGCGAGGCGATAGAGTTCTTGCATTGCAAACAATGCATGTTATGCTTCTGAGAGAGCAAACTGCTGAGACAAATGAAACATACGCTTCCTTGTCTCCTGAAGGCTTTTAAACCAAGAATGCTGGGCTAGTTCAAATCAACACCCTCCAGCTCCCTTGTTCCTTGAGCTCGCTGTGCAGGCGACATTAAAATGTGAAAGGGAATAAACAGGCTCTTCTGGTTTCTTCCTTGTGTCTTCCTTCTTCCCAAGCTGCTTCACTGTTGGCTGCTTCTTTGCTCAAAGGCTCTGCCCTTTTGAGCCACTGACTCCGTAAATTATATTTTTGATACTGCTAAGGCTCCTTAGGGGGTGGTGACTTAAACCATGCCTTGGGGGTGGATCTGCAAGGACATATATCTGAGCCAGAAGCGGTCAATTCAGCAAGCTGATTACAGCTTCCATGTTGGCATTTTCAAATTTGGAGGGGGGGGGGGAACCATGCAGACAACAATATGAAGTAGAGAAAAAAGATCAAGTCTGCGTTGAGTCAAGCTCGCCGCCAGGTGACTTCAGAAAATGTCCCATGCAGTTTCTTAGCAACGGTGGAAAAGTGGCTTTCCACTCCCTTCTTCCAGATGTTTTTTCAACTTCCCGATCTAGGCCACAACGGGTAGTCTCCTGTCCAAATGCCAGCTGGGCCCTGCTCAGCTTTTTGAATCAAGTGTCAAGGGGAAAAATGGTGAACAAGAAATCAGATCAGAACTGCCCAAAACTTATTTTGGATCCTCAGCAGTCTCCAACGATTACCCAGATTATGACTTCCAAGAATGTTATGTTTTCACAGGACTAAAAAAAAAATGCTTACAGTTACATGGCATTTTTTTCTACTTATCAGGCATGTTGAATTCAGCCTCTGTGATGGGTTAGCAGTCTGGTGTCTTCCACATATGTTAGACTCCACTTCCTATACATCCAGCCATCCTGGCCATGGGTCAAGAACTTGGGGCATTATAGTTCAAACCTTCTGGATGACATCAGGTTACCTACCATTGATACGTCCATGAAAATCCATGCATATACACAGATTCTCCACAGCGTTCATTATTGTACCCAAGTGCCAACAATGGTTTTTAAGAGAGACAGTTGTGAAATGTAACCATCTCTCTCAAAAATAATAAGAGACCCAAAGAGCATACCAACAACCAGACGCCACATTCCACAGTTGCCGAATATAACTTGGAATATGGATTTGTAACAGGAAGAGAGACGTCTGCTGCTAGTCTATCAAGACTTAACATTTGACAGCCCCTGGGGATGAAATTAATGTAACTTTTCCTTTAGTTTACCATCTGGGAATGTACTATGCAGGGAGAGAGGTTTCTGGCAGCTGATCAGTGGTCCTAGGATCCTTACTGCTTTGAATGATCCTAGAATCATCTTGTGGGGTTTCCAGAATTCTCCTGAGTGCAAAGTGGCAGATAAGGAGGTAGCTTTGCTATAGATCAGTGTTCCTCAACCTTGGCCGCTTTAAGCTGTGTGGACTTCAACTCCCAGAATTCCCCAGCCAGCCATGGTTGAGGAACATTGCTATAGATGGTTTGGCTTCAACAAGCTCTGGACATGCCAAAGGCTTGGAAGGCAAGGCTCTTTTCAGATGTTTATCCATAGCTCAAGAGTTGGGCTGGATCCATCAAAGGTTTGTCTGAACCAGCCTTCTGTTTCTCCCAGTACCTAAGCCGGGGCCCGTGGGACCCATCAGGAGGACGTAGACCCAGTGTCGTCATCTGCTTATGTTTCTTTACAGCTTCCAGGTAGAACAGCAGTATCTATTGTCCCTTTTGTTTTCTTTACAGATTTTGGGTTCGGAAACTTCTACAAAAGTGGTGAGCCTCTGACAACGTGGTGTGGAAGTCCCCCTTATGCAGCCCCTGAGGTCTTTGAAGGCCAGCAGTACGAGGGGCCACAGCTGGACATTTGGGTAACTGCATAATGTTAAGCAAAGCATCCTCTTTTTTAAAGACACTGATGCTTTTTACTTACGTTTTGTTTTTCTTACTTGCTAAAAATAAGTTGTTCTTGTTCTTGTCACAACAAGATAGCTTTGAGTCTGAAAATGTTTGCCTCTGAAACCTGCTTCTAGTGCAAGACAGGAAACAGCTCAGCTAATGCAGAAAGCAGGCTCCGATTTGCCTTCTTTCTCTCTCTTTCCCTCTCCATCCTGAATCTGGACCAGGCTGTGTTTAAGCGAGACTGCTAGGCTTAGCAGATTAAATCCTTCCCACTTGGGAGATCAAACCAGATTCTCAAAGGCTGGAGGGGTTTGCACATTGCTGCTGTCTTTCTGTGGAGAAGAAGTGCTGGCCTTTGGCAGTCTGCTGCTGGGGCCGGACCAAGGGTGCATGTTTCCTTCATGCTGCTCTTGAGGGAGAAGGAAACACGGGTGACCCCAAAGTCCCTCGAAGGGCACATAGCAGAGACAATATGGTGAGCCAAGGGCCTTAGGCTTTTTCATGCATTGTCAGTGTTGCTGCTGTGTCTTTTTCGCTGCTAATTGGGTCTTAGCGTCTCCTGGCATTAGCAGTGCATCTGCGACATGACTTTGCAGGCTTTTGTGGATTTGGAGGCAAGATCTGTCACCTGTTTGGGCCATGCAAGCCAAGGGAAAGAATAACATGAAGCCTTCTCTTTCTTTACAGCAGTGTCAGCCCATCTGCTGACGTGATTGCAAGCCTGGGTGGATGGAGGTAGGGTGTGTTCCCGTAAGGACCAAAGGCCATCTTTGAAGTTGGTCCTTCAGAAGCAAGGCAGGGCACCAAAATTAATGCTGCCTTCTTCCATATTGTTGAGCAAATAAGCCCATTTCATCTCACATGGCTCTTTAATGAGGAACAGCTGCCCCCTCACTGTGTTCCTTGCCTCTAACTTCCAAATGAACTCTGTACACACCCCAAACACACCCAAGGGCTGACAGCACCTCATGCTCTCTGCAAATGTGCCAAAACAACTGGAGTTGATGGTAGAAGCTGTTGACTTGGCTAGGCTGCTGACAAAAACATCCTGTGAATCCCAGAAGAAAAGAATGTTCATTATAACGTAAAGATTCGTGTGGTGGGGTGGGGCAGGTTTTGCTAACAAAACTGGTCAATGTTCCCTCTCTCATGGTGGCTTCAACCATGGTCAGAGAAATGCTCTGCCTTAAGTTGCAAAATGTGCAGGGGAGATCTGAATCTTTCTGTTGAAAAGAGGG